GCTCCTTGTGACGACTGCTGCTGAGCCCTGGCTCATGACGTGGCCTCTGCTGCTGAGCCCTGGCTCAGCCGCACTGACCCTGAGCTGGGGACCAACTGCTGTACTCTGTGGCTGCAGACCTTCACCACCCAGGAGACCATCACGAACGCAGAGACGGCGAAGGAGTGGTTTCTCTTGTCAGCCAAGGATGTGAGTGCTGGGGTGGGCTGGGAGACAGGGTGGGCCTGCCCATCCACCTGAGTGGCCAAGCCTCACCCTAGAGCCCTGTGTCTCTTGAAGTTGGCAGCAGGAGGCAGCCTCTCTGGTGCCTGCTTTTTCTGATTAAGATGTTTGGCTTTGCCAGCCCCAGACATGCCACATGTGGCAGAACCTGCTCGAACTGGCTGAGGGCCCTTTCTTTAGGGCTCCTTGGCCCTGAGGGATCATCTCTACCCTTGGCTGCACCCGCTTTACAGGGGAGGGACCCTGGGCTGTGTGTGCCTGTGAGCTGGGATGGGCTGGCCAGCCTCTGACCCCTCTGTCCTCTCAACTTTGACTTGGGACTCCTCCAGCAGCCTCAGAACCGAGGACTGGGAACAGTCAGTCCCAGCCAGGGCCTTGGTTTCTCCAGAGATGGGAGGGTCACTACCTTGGATGGCCCCAGGCTGGGTTTGGTGTAACTTGGCTCCATCTCTTGTAGCCTTCTGCAGTTGCGAAGCACTTTGTTGCCCTGTCCACCAACACGGTAAGTGCCCGTGTGGGCTCCAAGACTACCTCCCAGAGGGCCTGGGCCACGTCAAGGTCATGGCCCTTCAGAACACACGAGCTGAGGCGTGGTTCACAGGTTCAGGGATCTTGGCCCTGCTGATGGATAGAAGGGTTGGTTGCCTATGAGAGATGTGAACTGCAAACCATGCTTGTCTTTCCTACATTTTCCCATCAAATTTCTGCAGCTCTGCTGAGGGGCTTGCAGTTAACCCCATCCATCTCCTAGGCTTGATTGATATCCAGAACACTCCACACACATGACCTCCCTTGGTCTCTACCACTGGTCTCTCTCCAAGTGAGATATGCTGGGTAGGGGTGGGGGACGCACGCTGATTCTCATGGAAGGATGTTAAGCCCCAGTGAAGGAATGTGACTTTTTGCCAGTGTCTGCCAGGGTTAGAGTCAGTGATGCTGGGATTAGAAGGCGGGTCACCTGCCTGCCAGTTCTCATCGTCTGTGTGGCCTGAGGTTATGTAAGGTAGGGTGGGGGTGGGGCAGGGTGGGGCTGTGCTCCAGGAGTAAGTGGCACACCTTGTGAGTACTTGCTTTGTGCTGGGCTGTCAGCTGGAAGCGCACCCAGGTCGTCCAGACCACTCCCTCCCACTCCTTCCACCCCCGCTGCACCCCTGCCTCCAGTGCTGATCTCGTGGGGGGAGACAGGAGGCTGTGTTAAGGCTGGCACACCACAGCACCACTACCTCCTGCAGGCGGAGCTCGGACTGGTCAGTAGGGTGCCTCCTGCTGTGGGGACTAGGTAAGGGGTTGCTGACCCTGTCTGCCCGGGGGACAGAGCACCCGAGAAACAGGGTCAGTCATCTCCTGAAGGCCTCCTGGGGCAGAATCACCATCCCAGATATTGGAAGGGCTGGGCAGGTGTCTGGGCTATGTGATGCCTGGCCTGGGAGGTGGCCCCTGCCCAGGCTAGGGTTCCAGGGCTAGGCTCAGGTTCCAAATGTCCTGGGGGTCGGTTTCTGGTACCCCAACAGGCTTTGTGGACATGTGGGTGGTGTCCAGGAAGTAGCTCTTGCAGAGAGTGCGTGGGCCAGGTCCTCAATGGGTGTGCAGTGCCCCTCGGAGGGCTTCGCAGGTGCCAGGCCACTGGTGTGCTGGATGCAAGTTGGCCTGGTATCCAGCTCCGGGGTTGGGCAGCCTCTGGTCCCCATGCTGGACTCACAGACTGCTCTCGCCCTGCCCCATTGGGTGCTGTGGGAAGTGGGGGTGCTCCCGCAGCTCAGGCAGCCCTGCTCCTCACGTCCTGGAGCTCCTCTTCTTGTCTGGCTAACACAGGCTTCCTTCCCTCTCTCTCCCTTTGCCCTTTTAGACCAAAGTGAAGGAGTTTGGAATCGACCCTCAAAACATGTTTGAATTCTGGGATGTAAGTAAAGGCACTTCCTTGTGCTGGGTGAATTGTGTCCTTCGCCAAGTCATGACTGTTGAGCCACAGATGAGAGGGGCCAGTGAGGTCAGGTCAACATTTATTGAGCATCTACTGCATGCCTGGTTTTGGAAAGGCCGAGAGGCCCTTGGAGAGGCTTGTGGGGAGGAACAGCCCAGTCAGGATGAGGGTTCCACTTCCCCCGGGGGCTGGCCAAGCTTGCAGGGCCAGGTGACACTCCCCTGGGTGCCTGCCAGCAGCACCCACTGTGCGGTAACTGGAGCCACCCCGACCCCCCTCACTAGGCTGAGGTCGTGAGTTATTCTCAGTGATGGCCTTTCCTCTAACTGCAGCCGCAATCTGAAAAGGCCAAGGGGCAGGGTGAGGCAGAAGGTGAGCCTGGGCAGGCCTGGAAAGGAGCCGTAGAAGCAGCTGGAGGTGGGGCAGAGAGGAGGCGCCAGGCCTGGGGCCTCAGGGAGCCTTGCTGGGCAGCTGGCAGAGCAAACCTTGCCTGAGTGGCGGAGCTACAGGCCCCTCTAGTGACAGCCGGTCACATGGACTCATGTCTGCTAGAGCCACAGCTGGTGCAGAGCAGTGAGCAGGAGCTTTCCTTGCAGCTTGCCCGATGCAACAGTGGTGTGAGAATCCGCCTGTGGAATGCATGGAAGGCTTAGGGGGCAGGGGTGCAGTGCAGGGTTGGTGTGGGTGCTCTGTGCAGTGGGCATGGCTCTAACATGTGACCATGGCAGGAGCACCGAAGAGGGTTTCCCCATCTGGGCTGTTTCCAGGCCTTTAGACTGGGAGGTCTTCGCTTGGTGGCAGCACCACAGATGTAACCTCTTTTGGAAGCTCTAAAGGCCTTGGAGTAAGAGAGAGAATCAAGCTCCAACGCCCTAAGGCATCTATTGTGTGTAATGAGTTAACTTCTTTCTAGAATGGGACTAGTTATGTACCATCCTTGGAAGAATTGGGAAGAGTCACTCAAATCATTTTCTGCGTCCTGTGGCTCAGATGAGGAGCCTGGGTCGAGCGAGACTGTGCAGCTTCTAACAAATGTTGCATGCCTGATAAAGGAGGGGAGCCACTTTCTACCTCCTCCCTGGGATCTGGAGCCTGAGCAGATGGTGGTCAGAGACGCGTGGGTGCTCCTGCTAGTTAAGGAGCCCAGCAGGGCCGTGTCCCATTCTGGGTTTTCCTTGCCCGTGACCACCCAGCATGCAGAGATCAGTTGGAGTGGGGCTTAGGGAGAGGCCTGGGTCTCCCAGGTGAGGCCTGGCAATGACAGTTGGGCACAGGAACCTGGGCCCTGAGCTCACTGAGGCCTGAGTGGCCAAGGTGGGCACAGTGGAGGCCTCCTGGGCCAGGCCAGATGTACCACATACCACAGCAGTTGGAGGAGGGACCTGCCTGGGTCAGTAAGGGTGTGTATTGCTGAATCGAGAAGGTGACATCTGAGGAGCCAGGGATAGGTACAGGTGAAATTTCTGGATCTAAGGTCTCTCAATTGAGATAGAGGAGTCAGAAGAGACATAGGGATATTGCACTGGCTCTGAGGTAATGTCAGAAGAGTCCAGTCGGGCAGAGGTACATATAAGTGGTGAGGCCCAGTTGGTTGGTGTCAGTCATGAGGCAGCCTCGTGTGTTGGGATCAGGCAGAGGTATGGTGGTAAATGGTGATCTCTCAGGGCTCAGTCAGAGTCAGCACATTTCAGGGAACTAATTTTGGCTAGTGAGGTCTGAAGGGGAGCCAGGACAGATAAAAGTGCAGGTGAGGTCTGCGACTTCTGAAGGAGACGCAGGTATTTAGAGATGGTTCTCTAAGTGAAGTCTGAGGAGGAAAAGTCACGGACAGGTACTTAAACTGGGATCTGTGGGTTGAGGTTTAGTTCTGTGGCACAGGACAAGTGTACACACTGGGGTCTCAGACTGGTTCTGAGAAGTGAGCATCAGGTCATGGTGGCTGATCACTCAAATGCGGTGATCAGAACTCAGGATTAGGCAAACATAGGTCCCCTGAGCCAGGTAAGCCCCCTGGTTCTCAGCATCCTGACCAAGTGTGATGGGCAGAGTCCTCTGAGGACACATAACCAGCTCAAGGCGTGGTGTGTGGCATCGGGGTCTCACTGGGGTGGGGTTTGGGGAGCCCGGGTACGGGAGAGGCAGGAATGCACCTGGTATAAAAGGTGAGGACTAGGGAGCTGGGGCAGGTGAAGAATAGACGGGCGAACTGACTGAGCAGCTGCATCAGTAAAGTGCAGTCTCAGAGGCTTGTGGTAGATAAAGGTCTTGACCTGTGTCTGCAGGGTGAGATGTCTGAGGCCCAAGTCACTCAGACACTGTTTGGCACCAATGGGCTCTCACCAGGCTTCCCTCAGGCTGAGGTGAGCAGCTAGAAGTCTGTCAGGTTGAGGGAAGTGTCTGTTCAGGTGGGTTTTATAAAGTGGAGTCAGCCAGGGGTGGTCTGTAGAGCCCCATCTATCTGAGGTCTCAGAAGCTGGAATCAGACAAGGTGTGTAGAACCAGGTTTCTTAGGGGAGGCCTGAGGAGCCAAGATTAGGCACATGTAGGTAGAACTGGGTTGGTCAGGTAAGGACACTGGAGCCAAAGATAGGCGGAGGCACAGCTGAGTCTGACGAGCGAGGACTGGAAATCCAGGATGGAGTCCAGGTCAGAACTATGCCCTCCGGTGATGTCTGAGCAGTTCTGGTGATGCACGGGTCGATGGGAAAGACTGAAAAGCTGGCGTCAGGCAAAGGGGTGGAGAACTGCATCCATCTGGAAAGGTCTGGCGCAGGTATGTAGAGCAGGTCTGTCAGGTGAGGTTTGAGTAGTTGAGGTGAGATATAGGTTTGTACTTTTGGGTCTCAAACAGGTAAGGTTTCTGAGCTGCTAAAGTGAGGCCCTGGTTTGTATTCCAAATCTGAGGAGCAGGGTCAAGCACAGGTGGGTAGAGCTGAGTTTTTCAGGTAATGTCTGTGAAACCAAAGGCGAGCAGAGGTAGGTTGACCTGAAAAGCCAGGTTAGGTTCATTTAGCTCTATCTCACAGTTGAGCTCAGAGGCAGATAAGTAGAGCAGATCTGTCAGGTGAGGCCTGAGGAGCCAGGGTTAGCCTCATCTAGACCGAACTGGATCTCTTGGATCACCCCGGAGACTAGGAAGTGAAGACAGGTGGCTCGAGCTAGGTCTCTCAGGTGAGATCTGAGGAGCCGGGATTGGGCATGAGTGGATCTGGACCTCCCAGAACTGCATCTCTACCCATCTTGTAGAGATATCTTGTGAGGGTGAGAACTTGTGGCCAGGCACAGGTATGTGGAATTGAATTTCTCAGGGAAGGTCTATGGATTCTGTATCTGGCACAGGTTTGTATCCTTGGGTCTGTCAGCGTGAGTTAAGCACAGGTGCATAGGGCAGAGTTTGTCAGGTAAGGTCTATGGAACCAGGATCAGAGCAGGTTCACAACACTAGGTCTGTCTAGTGAGATCTGAAAAGTCACAGTGAAGCCCAAGTAAGAACCAGATGTCTGAGATGAGATGTGAGCAGCTGAGAAGAGGTATGGGTAGGCAGTGCTGGTCCACCAGGTGCGGTCTCAGGAGCCGCGAGCAAGCACAGGTAGATAGAACTGGTCCACCAGGTGCGGTCTCAGGAGCCAGCAGCAAGCACAGGTAGATAGAGCTGGTCCACCAGGTGC